TTCCCTACAGCAGCCCGACTTCCTAGTTTCCAGCAATCCATCTTCTCTTATTTTTTCCACGCCCCTAATGCTGGAGGTACAGTTTTTTCCTGGAGGTAATTCCAACTATTTTTTGGCGCTTGTTTCCTACAACAGTCCAACTTCCTAGTTTCCAGCGATTCAGCTTCTCTGATTTCCTACAGTTGTCCAGATTTGCAGCAGTTCGACCATCTGATTTCCAACAGTTCTACTTCCATGAATTCACGCAGCCTTACAACAACAGTCCTCTCTTACCACTGCTCTGCATCCCAATTGATGATAGACTTCTCAAGAAAGATTCGCAGACCCTCCTACGAAATATTTTCCTCCAGCTTTTTCTGAGAGTTGTCTACTTCTCTACAAAACTCTCCTGCAGCATTACATGTAAGAGTTTTCTGTCTACCTACAGACACTGCAGGAATTGCAGTCAAAGACAACCGCAGTCAAATAGAAGCCAGTCTTTTCCTACAGGTTGTCTATTTTCCTACAAACTGCCCTGTAATATTACCTGTAGGAGCCTTCTATCTGCCTACAAACACTGCGGAAACTGCAGTCAAAGACAAACGCTGTTGTCTAATTACCCAAACACTCTCCTGTGATATCATCTATAAGAATCTTTCGCCTACCTCCAGACACTGCAGGAACTATAGTCAAAGACAACTATAGCACGAGATGAAGACTGCAAATTCTACTTCACAGAATCTTCCTCGCCCATTGTTTGATGTTTTCAAATCCCAAATTGAATATGATTTTCAACCATATTTCAACTTGAGGGGAAGTGTTAGAAGTTATATTAGGAAATAATGTATTCATATGCAATGTTATGAGGAATAAATTATTTTCTGAGATTGAGAGTTATTTACTTTCCTATTTTATATTTATTTCTTTGGATTATGACTTATTTCCTTTATTATTTTAGGTTTTTCTATTTTATGTTATTTTGTTTATCTCCAAATAATTAATATGAATTGATTATTGGAGATATTAGGTAATATATCTTTTCTTACATATTATTTTTTTTTATTATCTTTCCTATTCTACGATTCATGTAGATGAGGGTTATTTATACCACCTTCATATCAATGAAAATACTCCCATTTAATTTTGTTTTATTCAGTATTATTCTAAATTTCAACAACTATCTTATACTTTTTTATGATAAATCAACTATGGTCATTACAAAAAATTCAATCTAACAACAAACAAGAAAATTTCTATCAAATATCATTTTATTATAGAAACTATTAAGCATGGAGAAACGCCTAAAATATGGCAAGAAAGAAGATGAACTTGTAGATATTTTCACAATGATATTTCCAAAAGAAAGACTTTGTTATCATCAAGCAATTATCATAGTTGTGAAGAAAATGTAATAAGGGAGGGTGAAAGAATTAATTCAATTCATACAATTTAAAAAAAAACACTAAGCTCTCTACATGTCTTCTAGAAATTCATTGGACACATAGCATTTATATGACTCATATAATTCCACGTGAATTTTCTTATATCCATGCATCTCTTAAAATTCTAAATTTAGAATGATCCATTTAGTAGTACTATTAGAAACTTGTCATGATAAGTTAAAGGTTGTGTGTGTGTGCGCGCGCGTGTGATGTCAAATTGCATAAGCTGCAAAATATCATATAATAACTTCTATAAATAAAAAGATAATGAAAACATCAAATGATCAACTCATCAAACTAACATAAAACATAAAACGAAAATAATATAAAATGCCAAAAACATAAGATGAAATTAATATGGTAGGTTTCTCTCACTATTATTATCCAATCATGATAATGACATTCATTGATCTAGATTCGAACATAATAAATAATTAATATTTGAAGCAACAGTTGACAACAATGGCAACAGATGCTGATGACGGTGGTGGTGGCAGTATGAGCAGCAAATAAGGTTGGCTACAAAAGAAGCAACATGCGACTATAACAAAACAAGCAGAAGATCGTTGTAGGGTAAGCAACAAACAATGATGGCGATGATGGCGGCGGAAGCAGCGGCCACGATGTTGGTGATGTGGGTAGCAAAAGCAGCAGGAGACAATTCTGAGAAGCTTGACTGGAGAGGGGAGTTCTTGCACATCAGATTGCAGCTTTGATATGTATTCAAATAGTCTAATATTGGAGGGAAAAATCTAAGCGTGAGAGGTCGCACACCTCAGCGGAATTGAGGTGAGGCAGGCCTTGAGACGTGCCTAAACCAATGTGAAGTGTATGCCTCACCCGAGCTACTCAAAGCATGTTTCTTCATAATTGCATTGAAGCGTGTCTCAAGAGTCACCTTAGATTGCACAATTTTAAACATTGACCGGGAGGAAAATACAAATTGCCTCAACTTCCCTATGTTTAGAATTATAAATTTTCTAAAGATACAAAATAAATTGTATTGATATAAAAGCAGTCTCACTGTAGGTAAAGAATCATCTGCATCAGAAGTCACAATTAGGTAAAGCTCTCAAACAGTGCGGAACACATTAGCCAACAAAATAGAGCAGATACTTCAGCTGCAATACCTTCATACTGAACAACCCTTGACGGAGTACCACGAGACCGCTGACTATCATCCTCCCATTTCAAACTCGCTTTTACCTGGTACCATCTGCCAATTAGATACCGTCAAGAGCACGCCACTATACCAACACCCTCAAAAAAGCTATAGCAGAACTGCACATTTCATTCACAAGCCCTTACCCTTGTTGAAAGAGATCGAGATTATGGAACCGATGAATATATATGGCGATCTCATGAACCATCTCCAACATATCCGGCTGCCTGAATTCAACGGATCTCCGGGTAGACAGTGAATTGGCATCTAGCAGTCTCCTCGGCGGCGGATTCCTCGGATCAAGGCCAAGGAAACATTTCATCAGCCTAAACATATGTGCCAAGCGAACCAACTTCTCCTCGATATTCGCATCACTTTATACTGTTTTAACCCAAATCGACGTCGTGAACAGCATCCAATTCACCTCAGGTACATCCCATCCCCGACTCAAACGCCCACTGACTCCAAATGGAGAAATTGTAGATCCCTTTCCCGAAACAGAAAAAAAAGGAAGAAATCGCAGATCCCACGAGCAATGGTGGTGATTCTCGCCTGGTTGAAAAGACGTAATCTGGTCACAGAGGATACCAAGATGGAATCGAGTGTTATGGTGTTTATTTTCCTCTTGCAGATTTTGAAACTAGGGTTTGTCTCAGAAGGGAGGGAGAGAAGTGTCGCATATAGAAAATGTGGGGCGGTTGGTTTCCCTGCTAGCCGCGCCGGATGAGTTCGGAAAGGTAGGATGAAAAATAGAACGATTGGTCGGCCAATCTCGGCCGTTCAAAGGAGTTGAGTCAATCGCAGTCTCGCCGTGCATTTATTACTAACATAAATGTGTGTGAATTTGCGATTACAATTATTTTTCTTATTTCACCAATGTCATACTTCCTTCAGGCGGGATTTCCTCGTTCGGAGGCTGTTTTCCAACTAACGGCACAGATCAAGAAGGTGCGTGAAGGATTGATCAAGACCGTCCATCCTCTCACCGCAAATTGCTTCTAACTTGAATGGAAAACATAAAAAATGTTCCAAGAGCGATAAGGTCCCATTCGAGCCGACAAAATTAATTTTAAAAAGTATTAAATAGGGTTAACTACTTAATGCAGCTTCGAGCCAAAATGTAAAAATGTTAATGTCCATGTACAATTTGGGAAATTTGAGTTTATATGACAGTATATATCATTGGTCAAACATTTTTTGGGCATTTACATATACACCTAATTTCTATTATTTATGTATCAAACAAGTAACATTCGACATCGAAAATATTACTACACGAAAAAGAGAATCAATGGATGCTACGGAGAAAGCAACAAAGTATTGAGCTATCTAGCATTAATTCAGTCGGTCGAATCAAGGGCCAACAGAGAGAAAGTTCGTCCAAACCAAAGAATGTCACGCATCTAGACTGACGACAGCTTAACTGATGCAAAATCATTCACAAGATCAACGATCGATTTGCGGAACTCTCCCCCGTCCTTCTATGAAGATTTATCGATCGAATGAAAGCTGCTTGCCAGATTATAGTGATTCACCCTCTGCTAGATGGAATAACCCTTCCCAAGTACAATGAGGGCTCGTTTGAGGCATGTCGGCACTATTTTGGTTTGCGGAGTTGCCCGTAAGAAGCTGTCGGCACTTTTTTGGTTTGGAGAGTTGCCCGTAAGAAGCTGTCGGTCACCGGAATCGAAATCTCGTCGCCCGCTTCGGAAGGACAATTTAATGTTTAGAAAAATATGAACTCAAATTCACCTCATATTTTTCATAGTTTAAATGAAAGAGCACTATACATTAAACTCTGTTTCTATCCTGAAGGATAAACAAAAGACTTGAGGATGAAGCTCGATCAAATAAACTAAAAAAAGTATGACGTCTGTTTGGTCTGCGAAACCATTTTATTTGCAGACAATTTTCCCTATTTAATATGAAAAACTAAATAGAGTTTATATTAAGCTAGGTTCGAAAAAAACTTCCTATAAGGGCAAGCCCCTATAGTTAATTACATCCTAAATGACCGAAGTCACCTAAGAAAACTCTTGATAAAAATCAGGAAATATTATCTTCAAGGATTTTAAAAGGATAGGACTTTTCAACGATATCGGACAAAGAAGCGTGAAATGGGATTGGCTCAAATTTGGAGCATTTTGTTTTTGGAATCCAAAGGAGGAAGAACTAGGGGATGTCATGGATCCGGAGGAGAACCTCAGTGACTTTCCGGTCTATCCTATGGTTTAGCTTCAGTTTTGTGGAGAAATATTTAGGCACTTCATCCTGCCAATTTTAGTTGTTAGGAGTTACATTCGTGTGAAACGATCACACAAATAGACTGAAAGATGTGAGGGTTTAAGTCGTGACAGACGACAACCTCGGAATTCTAAGACAAGTTAGGGCTTAGATTGTACAAAAGAGCTGTACAAAGGCCTAAAGAAAAGGTTGAGGATTTATGTTGCATAAGCAAACAACCTCGAAGTCCAATGACAGAGCTATACAAAGGCCTAAAGATGAGGTGAGGATTTATGTTGCATAAGCCGACAACCTCGAAATCATATGGTTTGGTTGTTTAATTCTAAGGAAGGAAATTGATTTAGTTGGGAAAGACAGGTTTTGCTGTTGAAGATGGTCGTGCTGCCCACCAGGCTAGCTCCAAGCTCCTCGTGGTGATGAGTTTAAGTTTTCTATGGTGTCAAGTTATGATGTTAAATCAGGTGGCCCTATGGTTGAAGTTCTTTAAATTTTTGTGGGGGTATGTTAAAGTTGATTAGAGCGACATCGGTTAGGATCTTACGACCCCTTGTTCCGACACCACTATTTTCTATTGGATTCACTTAGTCCAAATGAATTTACTAAACTCAACTTAATGAGTTCCATAATTTTATTTAGGTCGTGGGAAGCCTAGTCAGCAACCGTAGGTTACCTCCTCCGAGGGATTTCCGATCATCCGATAGAGAAGTCTTAATTTAGTTGTAGTTGTAATTTTGTGATGTTTGTGATTAAATTTTGAGTTTTTTTATATTTTGAATGTTGTGGATGTGATTTTTATCTTGGTTGATTTTAATTTTGGTTTTGTGTTTTGGTTTTGTGGCTATCCTAACAGTTTTAGTTTTCATGCAATGTGACATCGTTGTTTAGCATGCAAGTTTGTGTTAGCATCAAAAGTACAGTATGAAAGTACAAGAAAGATGACGATGTAAACTGTAAAAGCGTACCTGACGAGTCTTCTCGTTCCACCACCTGAAACTCAAAATGCATGTTAGAACATTTTATGTAAAGCGGAAAAAGCAAGGTTTTAGTGACCTACCTAACCCTTTCAGACAAATTTGTTTTAGCTTAGGTCACTACTAAGCCCTTAAGATTTTGGTAGATGTCTTAGTTATATATATTTTTGAAAAGATTGAATTTTTAAGTGATGGTGATTCATTATCAAAAGTTTTAAAAGTCATTTGATCATCAAATAAGGGTGTTAGATTAGTGAGTTATCAACTTCCAAAGTCATACCCCTAAGTCTAGGATCATTTAATTAACTAAACTTTCCAATTTTAATAATTTAAGGAAGTTACAAATTTATCATTTAATTATGAAAGAGTGAGGTTGGTTTCTACCGATTAATCTCCTTGTATTTCAATCATCAACATACGTTGATTAGGATCAAAGTTTATCTATTTCTCTTTCTTGAATTAAGCCTAAATGTTAATTAAGGTCAAATTTCCAAAATTACACTTTTGCCTCTAAGGTTCTGTCACTTCATAATTTGTCAAATTTACTTCAAATGACTTTGGAATTATCATCCCACCTCACTCATGGGTTAATTAAGACATCAGAGGAGAAAATGTGATTTTTCAAAATTTAATTTAATTTACATATTTATTTTAATGCAAAAATAGGATTTTTCAAAGAAAATTCCATAACTTGACCAAGGAAAAGCCCAATTCCTTGAAATTTTTACTAGAGGTAGAATTTGACAATAGAAGCATTGGGACCAAATTTCATGATTTATTGAATTTTGTTTGAATTTTAAGAAAAGATTTATTTTAATATTTGGTGCAATTATTAATTATTAAATATTTTAAATGTGTAAAATTAAGTTTTATAATTTTATTAAATCTCTATGATGTTAAGAAACCCAAAGAAATAATTTCATATTTTTCTTATTTTTCTTTGAATTACTAGAATTATTTTAGCGAAAATCCATTTTTAGCCTTTAAAAATTATTTTAAGCTTTAAAATTCAATATCTTCACTTAAAAAATTAGGAAAAATATTCTAATTATTCCTAAGTGTTTATGAAATAATTTAGCATATTTCCATGAAATAATTTAGCGTATTTTCATGAATTTTATTATTTTTGTGATTTTTATCATTTTTTAATTATTTAAATATTAAAAATAGCCTTGAAAATGGAAATTTTATTTTAATTTCAAATTTATTTTTATAAAATTCTTCTTGTCATAGAGAACTCCAAAAACTATTTTTTTATAATTTTTTGAGTTGTATTTTAATTGTTAAAAATCATTTTAGTGTTAAAAGTGACATTTAACTTGAAAAATTAATTTGAGTTATTAAATGAGCTTCAAAAGTTTTGAAATTTTTATGGGGAGTTTTATGAACTTTAAATCACATTGGAGATTAAAAATTAAGTCATTTAGATGTTTGTGTTTCCCAAGATTAATTTTTTTTGTGCTTTAGGGTTAGTGGAAATTAAGTGTATTCTTAATGACTCAGCCGATGAAATATTTTTTAAAGAGTTCTTTGGTCATATCAAACCTTCCAAAATTTTTTTGGATTTTTATAATCAAGATACTAATTATTATGATTAATTTATGCAAATAATAGACATAAACTTCAAAAATATGGATCTCTGTCTAAAGATATCCTCTGACATTAGAAAAATCAAGGAATGTTCCCTAAGACAAAGGAAACAATATGCCAAAATTTCAAGCCATGGTGAAATGTCTACATGCATGGATAATCAAAAGACTCAAAATAGTATTTAATTAATTAAAAAGAAAATATGCATCAAATAAATTTTAAATTATTTCCACATTGTTTTCCTCTGTTCACTGAGCAACAGAGTATTTTTATTTTATTTTTGTGATTTTTTTACACCAAGATTTGAATTTTTGAAGTTAGGGCTATTTATTTAAATTAGAAAATACCCTATTTATCTATTTAAACGCACGGCGTCATGTCAACCTATGGCGGCTCTGAAACTCCACGCGGCACACTCCCATTTGACGCCGCCATCCACCTCAGTGCTAACTCGGCCCGCGGTTCATGTATGAAGGTGTTTTCCGGCTAGATCTCATCCGTTGATGAGATAAACGCGCGATCGGACGGCTCCCCCTACTAGCCCCCCAACGGTCCCCAATGCCTTAGCCTAAGAACCTTCCATTTTCAAAGCTGAAGAGCTCACTCATTTCTTAACCAAATTAAGTGTATTGTGTTTCTAAATGCTTTTTTGAGTATGGCGAACACATCCATACGGTAATCAAGCAATTAAAATAGCATAATCAAATGGAGAATCAAAATAGGCTCGGGAGGAGGAGGAGTTCAATACATTTGCTCTGAGAAGGGAAGCTTCGATCAGAGGTGCTCGGCACGTTCGTGGAGGTCCAAGGAGGCTATGGATTAAGCCTCTTGCTATGATGAAAGGCCTAGGTATGAATTCGACCAAGCTCGATTTCAGGTGTTGGTCTAGAACTATGTGAGGGGCTCTGTATGAGGGGTGATGGGGCTT